ATAAAGCTATTCTTTCCATTCAAATGCGGCGTACAATGTCGTGTCACATTTACAGACTAGTAAAGGTAATAATATGATTTCCAGTGCAATTTGGTGTCAATTAATAAACACGAGGAGATTTCAAAGACGACACAATTGCACTAGCTCGTGGGGCGAATGTAATTTGTTGTCTTTGAAAAATTTACAGGTACTCGTTATACCAAATTGAAATAGAAATCATGTTATTAATTGATAATAATGTAAATGAAAAAACATCATAGAAGTCAAGACAGACGAAATTTTCAAAGCGTAGTACGCTCGCTATTTGTAATTTGCACTCGTGTTACATGAGAATACACTTGTCTTCTGCCAATCAGAAGCGCGTAATTTTTTTTTTTATGCACTTCACTTCAGTCGTCTATACAATCGTTGTAATTGCAAAGACCACTGAAATGAGTAAAAACACCTCCTTTCAAAACACAGCACGTCCTGTGAAACAATTCTTAGAGCTGGCTGCGCTGTTTCTTGAACCTCTACGGGGATTTCGATACAAATTTTCGAATTCATGTGTAACGCTTTACTGGAAAATATTTCATAAATCATGTTGGACGTTAAGTGATATTAATACAAATAAACCAAGCAAGGTTAAGTATGTTTAGTCGTTTCTTTCGACATTATAGACCTGCTAAAATGTATTCAATTCCATTATAAGTCTAACCACATCCTATATGAACAAATTGTTTCGAGTAATATAGTTCTTATCAGAGTTGTTTGTAGCGTACGGTCTCAGAGAATGCATCTTAGCTCATGCAGATCGAATCAGATTGACAGCTGTGCACAAGATCGGGGTTAATTGGTTTACACAAGAGGTGTGTTCGGAGGTGACCAAGCAGACTTTCTTGTGGAATGGATTATAGCGAGAACATGTCCGATGTTTTTGAGACCTCAGCTATACCTGAATTAACCCTAAGTTACATTTTGTCAATAAAAGACCAGTTGTCACAACTATCAGTGATCCAAAAGGTTGTCTATGCGTTTTGAATCAAGGTTCATCGGTGTTAAATTTTTCTTCATCAAGTTTACAACGTTCAGCCCGTGCTCCATAAGTGGATATTCTCGAATAACAAAGTAATAGGTAACACAGGCTTTAAGGCTTGTCGCTTGCTTTACGCTTAATTCGTAATCTAAAATTCCTCTTGTTGATGTTCTCGTTTCGACCTATTGAACTTCGTTTGTCAATATTGGAGACTCACGCTGATCTTTCTTTAGATATTATTTCGCATATATTCTCTTGTTTACTCCTTCCTATCTCTTACGAGACCTCAGTATGGTATGGTAAAGTTAAGTTGATACTAAAACTGAAGCAAGTCGGTATTTTCACGAACATTTGAAGTTTGATTTAAGACATTCCAATAGACAAAGATTGACTCATAAACTATCAGTTTCTACATGATCGAGTCAGACTTGAAATCTTTCAGCGAGGTATTTTACTTTAGTTCGTTTAATTTTGACTTTCACCGGAGGAGTGTACGGAAGTAATGTAAACTGCTAAATCTGTTTGCATCATCCTTTCAACATAATTGTGACCACTCGCACGACCTAGCTTTACGAGACTTAACAGTACATGATACAAAATATGATCTTTAATGTATTTATTTTAGCTTGAAGAATCTAAGAATTAACTCTCAGAAGCTTTCGCTATTGGAAAAGGTCAGGTTAGGCCAAAGATAGATACAGCATAAATGTTTCTTTGCTGCCACTTAAAGATCTTTAAATTGACAAGTTGCACCAAGTTCTTCGCTTAAAGTATAAAAGCAAAATGGAGGTAGGAAAAATTGATATAGAAATGTTTACTCTATTAATACCTTGATCATTTCCTTTAGACTGATGCTTTAAAACCGAAACTTCTGGTATATTAAGATTTTCGAATATAGGATTTTCACAGACTTCACCGATAATTTAAACTCGTAAACAAATTACCATGAACAAGAAATCAATGACCGGTATTAATTGATGTTGATGATCATACAGTTTGGAAAAATAATATCATACTGCACTGACCAAACAACAATGAAACAAACAGTAGATATAAGCTTCTGGAAACTGGAATAGAGGAATAATTCGTATTTCAAGACCGACGACGAATTAAACAATATCTCCACCTCTAAGTACCATACGAAAAGGCACGAGTGATTTAAAAAAAAAAGGGAGACGTTCATTATCAAGAGAACAACACAATAATTTTATCTCCGACTCTATAGGCTTGTTTACAGTTTCAAAATTTACGACATGCGGCAAATTCAGGTATCAAATCGATATTATCAGCAAAACTTATCCCTATCTGAAATCGGCAATTACTCTGTGAGTAAAACACGCTCATCTGGCAGCATTGCAGCTCTCTAACACTGGACTATTGCTCGAATTCATTGCCCCTAACAAGTTAATCAGTCCTTACAATTTTAGTGTCTTCATCGTGCACTTTCGATTCAGAGAAGCTGAACTGGGATGTTGGACTCTATATTGAGAAGGAACGCTAATTGTATATGTGGGAAAAAAACGAACTTTACGTCATTTTAGCTGTTGTTGCTATTGATTGGTTAGTTGTTTGTTTCCGCCACCGATGCCATCCGGGAACTTGTCCTTGGTCGGTTTGGACATGACGTCACAACCAGAAAATGTTCGTAACAAAAGATACTACATAAGAAGTTAGTGGAAAAATCCCAAGATAAAAATTCGCATAATTTCCACGACACACGAAAAACATCTTTTTTACCTTGTGAAACACTAGTACTGTGAGCTGGTAAAGGTTCAGTTAAGGTCTTTCACATACAGACTAGATAACAAATGCTCATAACATGATTTATAACACTTTAAATGCTTTATATTCCAATTTTTAAGTGAATTTAATGGATGATCACTTGCTCTTCATAGCAAATTCAGAGCGGGAGCGAAAGAATATTTCTGACGGCCAGGTTTTGGTCCCCTCAGGCAAATCGCTGTTTCCCCGAAGACTAAAGGCGAAGCCTATCAATGAAGCGCAAAGGCTCTTGACGAATTTGAACTCCACACGTGAGTATCTCGAGAATAATCCTTTAGCCTCACTTATCAGTTCGGTCCATATCAATGTGGATCAAAGCAGACTTTTTAAAAGACCGTTATGGGGTCTTTTTCAGCCTCAATTCATTTAAACGTAAAACACGAATGCATGCTATTTCAGGATCGCTAGTAAATAACAACCAGTGCTGTAATCTGTGTAAAACATTATACTAGTTCATGTTGCAAACAGTTGGTTTATTTTGATGATAAATAGTTGTATTATTACTTAATTATTGCTGGATTGTAATATCTTGATCGAAGAATTAGACTTAAGATTTTAGGTTTTACTGTGTTATTGTAGTGTCCTCGATGAGCATTAAGTAAAATAGTCGAACGCACTGACACTTAAATAATGTTGTTATCTTGGTATGTTATGTTTTTATTCCAAGGATTTTTACGCTTAGTTTGCGTTGAGTTAGCTAGAGAAATGGGTTTATTTCACAAGATTAGCCTTCTTTCATGATTTTATGAATTTCGTTTACACTCAAGCAGTTAATTAGACATCCTTAATGATGCAAACCGAAAGAACTCAATGTGCCTTAGGAGTTAGGAATAACCCCGGTAACATATTTTCTTGAATTAGTTTTTGTCACGCGTATTAACCTCACAAGAATCCTGAGGACGACTTATAGAGCACTGAATACGTCTTTGCTACCCTTTAGAGAATCATAATTCATCCTTTCCTTCACAACTTTGTCGACTGAACAAAACGGTTCACTCTCAGCTGCAACGAGATATCGGCTCGCGTTTAAATCGTTATTCAAAATTACCTTTTGCACCGGCCGAGCTTGGCCACTGAGCAGAACTATCAATTTAATTTAAACAGAATGCAAATCAGTACCCATTCATAGAAAATGGCCTTCTGCGTGGGCGGAATTGAGTTGACCAGTCAACTTAAAAATAAGTCGAAATCGGGGAAAACCCTTCGTAGATGAAGTAATGTCTCGCTGTTGCTATGTCATGATAATCACAAGGGTACGCTGGCGTTCTTCGAATTTCATTTTCACCATTCACTATCTCGTGATGGTGGGCTCAGATAAAAACCATGGTTTCTTTTCAAATAATCCCTGTTTCATATCCCACAAGGGCACTAACACCGAATATTAATATAAGGACAAATATAAATCAGTTTGAAATTGAAGTTCTCTTTGAGAACATTGATTGATTTTAGTATTTAATAAGCAGTTTTGCTCAATATTCCCCAGAATAGGCACAGATGACAATGAGACCATAGATAACCAGCAAATACCTCTCTCTCGGACTTTTTCTTCACCAAAACGGAGAATCGACAACGAAACAGATGCGGTGATTTGAATTGAACAGTTTTCTCAACTTATCCTTGAGCGACCAGTAATAGAAAGCGCAATTCCAGCCATTAAAGAATTTTTTAATTTGAAAATTTGATGCTAGATTCTGCTCGCGTTACATTCTGATAATCGCTTAGTGCGTGAGATTTCGAGTCAAAACTCTTCGTCTTTAGAATATTCATTTTGCCCTGCATGCATGCATATATATATACACTGGCTTAGAAGACTCAGCCTCCAGCAAATTTTTTTAAAAGATAAATGGAATTAATTTTAGTGGCCGCATTCGCTTCATGAAGGCGTCTGCCAAATGCTGGTTCGTTTAAAAAATATATACAAAGGAAATCCAAGAACATAAACAGAAAAGAATGAATTCCTACATAATGGGTGCCTAATGTTGTTGGAAAAAGGTCTCGCTGCAAATTTGTTTTCAATCTGTTTTCCAAAACAACTGAATGCTTATGAAATTGTACTCTGGGTTTGTAAGGCGTCCTTGTAAATAGCTAGCTTTTCAATGCAGTTCTCTGGTAAAATATACCTCCAGGGTAACTGATACAGGTATTTCTCTTGTAAAACTGAGTAATGGTTTTTGCAAGATAGATAATTCGGCTGAACGAGTACCTTATGGTCAGACTGGTATCGGTGAGAATTCTGTCCGCAGCTTGAATAAATAAAGGAGGTTCATCTTTTTTGCCGAAGGTATTGACAATTGACGTGGACTCTTTCTCTCTAAGCTTCATTGTTTTCCGAATAGAGTATTGTTAATTCTTCATTTTGAGCTCGGAAAAGTCTGCCTAAATCGCAATGGAATGAAAAAAACAACGATCTTAAGAAGGGTGAACCTCGCATTTAGAGTGGAAGAATAGTCTTTGCAGATCGTGTTACAACTTTGCACTCGTGCTGCGACTTTGCACACGTGTTACTTGAAAAATTCTCTCCCTTCCGGCCAATCAGAGGTGCTTAATATTTTTATTAACAATTGGTTCATACGTCAGCGTGCATTCATCGACATATGAAGCACGAAAAAATTTTGGAGAGCACAAAAGATACGTAAGAGTTGCTCGTGGCGTAGCCGAGAGCAACTTTAGCTTCTTGATTGCTCTCTAAACTTCCCAAGCGCTTCATATCTCGATGAACGCACAGATGACGTACGAACCAATCGTTTTATAACATTTTCAACCCGATTTAAAATTTTTTCTCGAGGGATATGTTTGCTGATGTCGTGAGCGTGCACAATAGGAATTTATAATAAAGTTCGGATATAACGCGCGCTGTCATTGGTTGAAAGAGCGTGCTCTATGAGAGTATAGAGCATAGAACTGAGCTAAAGCTGTCACGCCATCTGCCAATTGTACTATGTTCGACCTTTTCCGGGACTTCTTTTTAGCTTTTTCCCGATAATTGAAAGTGAAATTTCGGAACTGAAGCGAGCCGGCAAGTAGCAACAGAAGAATCAAACAAAGGTTTGTAAACATACCAGGCGCCGTAATTTACGTTATTAAAACGTGAGCAGATACGAAAATCCTCAAAGGAAAAACAAAATAAACATTCCGAGTTTTAAAGATTTTCACGCTCAGTTAAATTGCAAGCTTACGTACGGTAATAAAAATCAAACACAGCTAACACTCGTATAGTATATAAAGTTCAGTGTTCAAAAACAAAACAGAACAAAACAGAAATGATGAAAAAAATAACCAAACTGGCGTAATTGTTAAAATTCATACTAATCATAACGGTGTCTGAGCGAATATGATCATGCTAAGTTCATCGCGGCTCGCTCATCATGGCGATCTCCGGTCATCACAGTAAAGCAAGCCTCAGAAACTACATCGGCCGCCCTTCGAGTGAAAAAATAAGAGCTTGCTCTGATATCATTTCCAATACGTTTGATTGGCAATTCACATCAGTCACTGCAACCGAGTTTTGCGGCGCTGTCATCACGAGCGATCTTCATGTTCCGGTGAATTCGGCTGTCTTTCATTCAAAAAACACTCGCCTTGAACAGCTTGTTTTCTACCTTGTCATGTGGAAAAAACTCGCGTGTTTTTATGAGCCATAATTCGGCTGAATTTCACTGAACATTTCACTTCGAGATTCTGTATTAGAGACTTAAAAACTTCAGGCAAAAGTGTTAAATTCGACTTGCCGAACTATTTTAGTTTGTAAACTATCGTAGAATGTGAACTTTGATGGTTTTTGAACTTTGATGGTTTGACACTTTTGACAGCTTTAGTCTTGTACAGCCAATCAAATTATTTGAACCATTCTAACAAGGATTCTGATTGGCTTATTGTAGCGTGCTTTATGAGAGTATAGAGCATGCTGACGACATTGTTGTTCGCTTTGGAAATAAAGTTTGTTTTGAAAATTGAAAGTAATGCTTGGGTAATTTAACGGATTCTTTATTATAAAACAAATAGAGAAGCCTTGACTGTGCTCTGTTCTGTTATAAAGCACTTAGGAAGCGGCTAGAGCACTCAAGAAGTGGGAAGAAACACTCGACTACGTCTCGTGTTTCTCCCTACACTTCTTTCGTGCTCTAGCCGCTTCCTGCGTGCTTTATAACAGAACAGAGCACAGTCAAGGCTTCTCTATTTGTTAAATGAAGCACACTCGCGCAATTGAATTTGATTAGACAGATTTACTAGCTATGTTATAATGTATTTTATCAACTGAGAAATAGGACTTCATGACCAGACGTCGAGTTTATGCCGTATATATATTGAAAAGAAACAGCACGCAAATATTTCATGCACTGTACTTTGTCGCTAAACACTGACAAGAGCATATTGGCAGTTGTCGTGATTCAACCAATCATGAATCGGGGCTTGGCTATCTTTCTATGTAAACCTGTCTTCGTTGTTCAGCCAGACAACGAGACAACACTGGAAGCCGCAGAGTGAACAACTCGGAGTCAGACCTCTCGGAAAACCAGAACTCACCGGAACAATGGGGATCGCAATCCGCCAATCGCATTAGATCGCCGTGATGCAAATGGTAACGCGTAAGCAGTCGAAACGTCGCGATCTACATCTCAAGTGACTACAAACAATTAAACAGTTTATTATTAGGGAGTCATTATCACATTTCATTAAAATAATTTTGCCCCTGCCGCAGGCAAAAGCTCAGGGCTAGTTTTTCATGCAGCAAATACATTTGAAAGACTCGACGAAAATCTTAGGCTTAAATCTTCTTGATTTGATTAGTTCTTCATCAAAGTTTTTCACATCTTTTTCGCTTTACAACTTTTTTAGACGGAAAATTTAACACAACTTGACCATTTGAAGATCTTTTAGTGGCAACAAAGAAACATTAAGCTAACTTGACTTGTGCCGAGAATTCTCAGAGGGTTTTTTCATGTCTAATGGCTCGAGGAGCCCAGTAGAGAACAGTTCAATCTAACGTTACATAAAAACGATTTAGAATTCTGTCAGCCATAAAAAAGAGAATGAGCTGAGACTGTCAAAGTCTAGCAACATAATCTGCAACTGATTTTATAAACTGAGTTGATAATGCTAATTGGCCACTGTCAAGAGTTTCTAATTAAAACTACTGTTTTTTTCATTTGGATGAAAACTCAATTTTCAAAAACAGTTCATCGTTTTTGACAAATTGAGGACCGAAGAGCAGTTCTATCCTAGCGAAGTAAATGAGGCCATATCCAATAGGGCAAATGGCTTCTCGAGGCCTTTGAAAAGCAGCTAACGTTGGTTTAGCTTGCAAAGTGTGGCTGATGTCGTTGTCTCTTTGTCCATTTCTATCCAAAACCGACAAAGTGATTCTTCCAGCGTAGGGCCAAGATAAGAAGTCATCGTGCTCACCCTCCATCATGTGGACAAAGATGGCAACATACCTGCCTCTTCCGTCACCAACTCCATTGGGATACATCCTTACCCCAAACTTATATTCAAAGCTATCGGAGTCGATAGCAGGACCGAAAACAGCTGGTGCCACTCCGTTATCATCGGCCTGACAATATTGAAATTAGATAGAAATGTCACACGTTACTTTAAAAAGTGTTGTGTCGTCCTGCTCAAAATAAATTAAAATAAAGAAATGCTGTTAGGACATATTAGAAAGAAAAGGAAGGCCAACCTGGCGAAACCGCTCGACTTCCGTATATTTTATTATGAAATAAGTCTCTCGGGGATTTTGTTTGTTCCTTGCGGCTTTTTGAGAAGCAGACCTGTCAATAAACCACCACAGATTTTAGGGAAAACGAAACAGATTTCGTTTCCTTTTTAAACGTAACATAATAATTCCTAACTGAAATTATTTTCCCGTTTTCAGTAAATTATTTTAGGACAAAAAATTTGATACTTTAAATATGTGTAGAGCAACCTTGTTGTAATGCATTGGCTATACCAACCAGACTTTCCGGGGAACTTTGATGAAAACAACAAATTCCTGGTGGCGTGTTTGGTCCAATTCAATTAAGATATACATTCAAAGCCATTTTTAGCAAATAATTTGCATCAAAATAAGCTTTCAGCGCGATTTACAGAGGATTGTTGCCTACTGTTTGCTTATCCTTGCAGTCTGATTGGCTCTACGTGAAAGTTAAACAAATTTTTTAATTGAAATGGGAGACTACAACAACAAAAAATGAAAACCTGTTTGCCTGATGGGCGATTTCCATATGGATGTATATTAAGTAGAATTGTGTTTCGTGTGGAAATATTATTTTATAGTTTTTTTCCTCCAAAATGATATTTAGGGTATCGAATTGGCACGTAAATCACGCATGTGGTTTCAGTATAGTAAACAAATCCTTTCATCTAAATTACCATTAATGATAGTGATTGAACTGATGCAATACTAACCTATCAAGTTGTCCTTGCCATAATCGTATTTCTTGGCGTCCACAGCAATGCTCAATATACTGTTGGATCCTACCCAAAGAACTCACTATATTTACGGAGCCATCATCACTAGGCTGGTGACCAGCAAGCAAGCCGTAATTTCCGCAGGGCCGTCTTAAAGCTGGCTGCTCCATCTCCTGCAAAGGATGATTCCAGGCACAACCCAGATCAAGTGTTTGGCAAGTACCTGACTCCTGCGATCTATATAGTTCCGTCTCCTGAATGGGTACACTCAACACATTGACTTGGATACCACACTCCTGCAGGGGAAAAGGCTGATGTTCCGGTCTCTCCATCCTGTCAACCAGTTCAACCTGTTCGCCTGGAGGGAGGGCATTTCCATCTCCACCATTACAGATAGAATAGCTCGAAGCTTCTTCAGTACCCAGCTGAAATAAAACATAAACCATCCATAAAAAACTGATGTTGTGTGGTGTTTGCACCAAAGAGGTTGAAAATTCTGCCATAATTTTACTAAGAAATAATCAAACTAACAAAACACGAGAAAGGAAAATAGGGTTACTAACTAAATATCATTTTATGAATTTCTTTGTTAAGTTTTCCTGAATATCTGATACTTTCAACTGTCAATACACACGGCAGAGTACTATGCAAAGGCTCGAATTGTGAGCCGAAAAAAAATCCTGTCCATCACGTCGAACAGCCACGCAAAGGTACCCCTTCTGCTGAAGACGTCTGCTGAATACACGGACGGTTCTCAAAGTAGAAAACGACAGAATGTTGTTTATTGGCCACCGTAGAGAGTATCTGGATCTAAAGCTTACATCCCTTCTTCAGACATTATTTGCAAGAACTTGTATGGTCAGAAGCTATCTAAAAGCCTCCACTTGGCAACAACTATTTGGGGGCAGGGGAATAGAATTTATAACAGAATAGAATTTATAACAGAATAGAATTTATAACAGAATAGAATTTATAACAGAATAGAATTTATAACATTCTTAATTGCGTTTACACCTGCCTGGGCTCTTATTTAATCATTCGTCTGATCAGGCTTTAGAAACTCTTTGCGATGGCAAATTTACTTTATCAACTCTGTTGGTAACACAGATTATCTTGCTATACTCCCCACCGACGCAGCACAACGGTTTCTCTAGAGTCTTAGTTCTTATAGAGTATTGCATAAACTGCTTCTTATTTAAAAATCAACTTGTTTGCATGGTACGTGAAGCATTAGCATGCCATATGGCCACGCATAGAGATGAATTTTATGTTGGAGTGCTGATAGTATCTCAGCGGTAAAAGAATACGTAACATACCTCTTGGAGTTGTAAAGGTTGATAATCGTCAACTGGATTAGCCTGTCCATTCCTAGTTTAAAGAAATTAAATAAAGATTATTGTGAAAGGTTATCAGATCTTTACATCCATATCAAATACTGTAGTTACACCGCGAAGAGATGTGTCAGGATGAGACCTTATAGGTAGTGGCTTGCGACCGAGCGCAAAGAATAAAATGCTGCATCTCGCATTTTTTAAGGTTAGGCAGCTTTGCCGCATTTTTCTTGTACTTGGAAGCCCTAAAGATAACAGATTGAAGACATTATTTGCAAGATTTTGCGTGGTCAGAAGTTATCGCCTCCACTGTTTTATTGACCTCGTATAATTTAACAACAACTATTTGGGGGCAGCAAGATGGAAAAGATATCATTCTTAAATGCATTTACGTTCCCGCTGGGTTCTAAGTTTATCATCCATGTAATGATGACATCTGGCTTGTGTTTTGCAAGTCACGCAACTGCGCAGGCACAATGGTGTTTCAGTGATCGGACGCGGAAGCGATAGATCATTTAATATTCAGTCTAGAAGCGTCATGTGACGTTGATGTTAATAACTTATGCCCCATTCACACCAAAGCTTAAACATGTTTAAAAGTTGTTTTGTTAAACACAGTTTAATTTTTTTTTTCTTCATAGAAACTATTTAGCCGAATATTTTTGACTTGAATGTAGCACATTGGAAATGCAAGTTAGCAAGTACTTGAATCCAATGGAAAATCAAGTTTTTCAGTTCTCTGTTTATAATTTTCATTCAATGAAAACCAGTTTAACAAAACATGTTTTGCTGGTGTGAATGGGGTATTAGTTCTCTATCACTCTTCTCGACATTATAGTCTACAATATGGAAATAACTAGGCGTCCGTGATCAAACCAAGCTCAGTTAGGGCTTGAAAATCTTTGTATTAAGGTAAGTACTTGCTCCTGATATTGAAATCGACCTAGGCCTGTTCGACAACATTCTGGACGTAGAAGTGTAAATATTTTTTCTTGACGGCACATTAGTCCCAAGATGTTACCCCGTAAGGAAACAGCATCAACATCCACTAAAGCAAGTGCTAACAAGCGAGTTTAGTTGCGTTAAGCTAAATTGGACAAGCGTTCTTCGCTTTTCTTCTATCTACAGTGGATCAATTTTCTTCGGAAGGTCTGATGGACACAATTAAGGTGTGTACATCCATCTTACATATAAATATTCAGCACTGTACCTTCTGGTCCCTTTTTGAAATGCGAATTTTTACTTTCGAGCCGCGTCGGCTGGGGTTGATATCAGGACTAAGAGATCAAAGACATCTACTTCGTCAGATTATTTTGCGGTGAATCATTTGCTATGGTGATGGCTAGACGAATTTGTTTGCGCGTTTATGAGAACGCAATGAAGCGGAATCATTGATTAGATAAAGTTATTTCATCATTTGCCGGTTTGAAAATTTGACAACGGCGTAAACGTTGAAGTAGAATAACACCTTCGCTAAAGATTTCTAAAGTGCTCATGAGAAGAAACGATAAACATTGTGGCCTACTGGCCTTTAAGTTTTCGGCTTTAATTACACTTGAAGGGTTGATGCTATTGATAGAAGCGTGGTGCGACCATTGCAACTTTCGCTTTCTATTAGAACATATATCTGCCGTCTATAAAGATACTAAATGATGGAGTCTTAAAAAGGTTTGTGTTTGATCGTGACCACGTTTATAAAAGATGGTAATATTTGTTCGAGTTTATGATTGGCGCTATGATTTACACGAAACAACGAGCTTACTTCGAAATACTCTTGCTGTGTCCTCTTGGCAATCGAACTTATTTTACCGGTTTAGTGAAGTGATATCTTTGCGATCAAATTAACAACCTTCTCAGAACACGACGACGCATTTAATCTAGAAGAACCGATTTATCTCCCGCGTGTCGCTCCTTCTCCAAGTTTATCTTCAAAAATTATGAGTGACTTCAATCCACGACGTTAACAGTCTTAACACGCTTCTGAACATTTCGAGATTCCCATCTTTGTGCCTTCAGTGTCACATGTAAATATCAACAGAGACTGTTTTTAATTTCCGAGTAAATTGAGTCACAACTCTCCGTCTTTTAAACTATTTATTTGCTCTGCTCTGCAAATCTATGTATAGTGAAATTTTAGGATGAGGGCAAAAAATGTATGTTCAATCATTTATATAAATATATCTCTAAATAATGAATGGTATTTAAAAAGACCCCTCACAAACAACTTAAGTTGTTATGCATAAGATAGAGGAATTCCTCAATGCAAACGAGGAACGCAACGAAGCAAAGTAGATTTAGATTTGTTCCATCGGTTATGAAAATTTGACAAAAGCGTAACGTTGTGATAGAATAACTCCTTCGCTAAGTATTTTCGATTTTTCAGTTATGTTAGAGATCTCTTAGCATAAGGCGCCGGTAGCTGTGATACTCAGGAACTAGGTAACCATACTTTTTACCTTGTGTACTTGCAATAGAAAAACCAATTATGGTTTGCTAAAAAGTTTGGAACATTTCTTTACTTTGTCATCAACGTTGATTTTATGAGGAAAATTGCCGTCAAAATTAGTGAAGGTATTCGTTTTCATTCAAATGAGGTGTACAGTTCGGTATCACACTTGAAGTTCAGGGAGCTGAAATTAGTTGTCTGTAAAATCAAAGTATTTGCAACATTCACTGAAATGAGTAACATCTCTTTTCAAAACACAGCACGTGTTGCTTAAAAATTCTCCGAGCTAAGCTGTTCTTGTAACTTTTAGATATTTCGATACAAATTTTCGAATTCGTGTGTAAAGCTTTATTAAGCAAACATTTCATAATCATGTTGGATGTTAAGTGATACGAACGCAAATAAACCAAGCAAGCTTAAGTATGTTTAGTCGTTTATTTCTATATTTCACACCTGTTCAATCTATTCAGTTTATTTTTAAGGCTGACCATACCCTACTGAAACATATCGTTTCGAGAAAGATAGTTTTTAAACGTTGTTTTGAAATGTGTGCAATGGAGCATGAGGTCTTAGAGATTGACAGCTATATACAAGATGTGTTCTAATTGGCTAACACAAATGGTGACTTCGGAGGTGGATCGAAGATTGAAGTTCAATTTAAATTTAATGGCTGTTGGCTAAGCAAAGCTAATCGTATGAAAGAAGTTTCGGAAAAAAATGAAAACGCATGCAACATTCTATGCTTTGATCTAAATAATTCGTATCAAAATAATCGCTTCGATAAAATGAGTCGACAGTCACGCAGTGTTGTCAGATTTTTTGTTAGTTTTTAAGTAGATGTTTTCCAAATTGGCGTGACATTGAAAATCTAGGAAACCGTCCACTACAAAAATCGCAAATGGTTTATCCGTTCCGACAGATTATTTTTACCAACTACTCTTGAACAACCCATTTCGTAGTTTTGGGAAGAGTTTGGCAGCATGGTGAAATTTAGTCGCGACTCAAATATTTCTCTCTCCTTCGCTTATGTAAATGCAACACACGAATTTTTCCTTTGTCCCAAGCTCGTACGATACCAAAAAGCAACTTACTTTATAAAGTAATTGTTCAAGTATAATCGAAAAGCCATGTTTGAGAAAAGCTATCATTAGATAATTTATAGGACGCAATCGAAAGATTTGAATGCCGAGCGAACTTGCGTTCTTTCTATTGTTCCGATACTTGGTATTGCTTCTATAAATTTTAGGAAAGTTAAGACAGGAAGTATTGCAAACTCGCCGAACTTTCACTGTACTTAGCGTTTGAAACTGATTATCATGTACTGCAGAAGAGCACTCGTTAATTATGGCCACTCGCGCGAACTAGATGTCAAAACGAATAGTATATTTCAAACGCGACTTCTCTGTAGTAGCAATTTAAAGAGAGAGTTCAATTTTAAAATCACCGACGCAAAATATGAGTAACGTTTTGTCTCGGATAACCAAGCTCACTCTTGCAAGTACATACCTCATAATGGAGCAAATTGTAAAAATTTTGCTGCAGAAAGTTGTCGCAAGTGTTCTCTCGACGGCCTTTTGAGGAGGAATAACCAAATTTTAAGCTTTAGCTGTCGACCAGCCGAGGGTGATTGACAGTTCAGACCGGTTATGCTGTCGACCAGCCGAGGGTGATTGACAGTTCAGACCGGTTATGCTGACCTCATTGGCGACTTCTCTTTTGGGGCGACATTTTTTCTGTTGGGTTCTAAATTAATCAATTATGTAATGATGGCGAGATTAACCCTCCCAGATCAAATTTGAAATTCTCCTTGAATTGATTTGCATGAAATACTGTATTTCTTCGATTAATCGCCACGGCATTTACTACATTTTTCGTGATTCGAGTACGACGTTTATACGAGGGCGGCGTTTATTTAAAATCCAATTTACGTCTTACAAACAATGGTATGGTATTTTGGAAAACACAAAATAGTTTGGAAAGCGTGAGATGCTATCAATCGACATTTATTCTATGAAACATCTCCGTGTGAAGTGAAATCTTTATTGTTAATCTGTAGTAGCGAGATTCCCCGATTTTTAATTTTTCTCCATCAATTTTACAGTATTCAGCCTGTGCTCCATGGTGGGATATTTTAGAATAACAAACTAATGGGTAACACAGGGTTTAAGGCCGGTGGCTCGCTTTACCCTAAATTCTCGATTCAAGAGAATTGGAGAGACACACGTTATTAAATTGTGTTCAGACATTATTTCGCTCACGTTCTCTTGTTGACTCCTATCAATGAAATGAAGCCTCTTATCAGAAGTTAGTACCTGTTAGCAATGGTAAAATTGAGCTAATAATAAAACTAAGGCAATTCATAAGTATCTCCAGCACAAGAGCAATGAAAATTTTCACATTTTCATTAACATTTAAGATACAATTTGTTTGAAACCAGACATAAACATTTACTCACACCTAACAGTTTGCACGTTATCCAATTAGACTAAAGGCCTCTTGCTTAGTATCTAATTTCAGTTTGTTTCATTTTGGCTTTCATAAGAAGTATGTACAGAAGTGCGATAAAAAGCTTGATCTACTTGCATCTTTCG